GTCATGAAAACACATCATTATGTAAGGGTTTTCACCTTAATTAGCTCGTTGATCTTGACCCTTCAATTGAATTTCATGGAAAAATATTTTATGAAAAAATATCATCATGTTATGATTTGTATTTGAATAAGACCGTTTCATCTAAATACTTGGATAATATTTCATTGAAAATGCACTTAAAAAATATTGGATTGGATTTACAGGATTTGCCCTATTTTATCAATGTAATGTAAGTTTTAGATTAACTCTCAATTAGGGTTCTATTTTAACTTTTTGAAATTAATACTTCTCAGGACTCGCTCTCTAAATACACGTAGCTTATAAAAATTCAACCCTTGGATGTGATTTCGTTGGAAAAAAAAAATGTCAAGTCCAGAATCAAATGATTTGTCCAGAACCTCTTAAGATCCTGTTTCATGAGAAAGGTTTAAAAATAAACCAAATATATGTTATTCACAACAAAGTTTCTCGTAATAGGGTAGAATATACGTACCTAGCTCGATGTTCAATAGGGCCATTGATAGTGATATGTGGCCTGATGACGTAAATAGTCGTGAGTGGATTGCCAGACCTCGGCGACAGAAGCAGAGACCTGATGGTGGCTACTGGGCAGGGGACCAAGAGGATAGGATCCCCCCACGTTTCAGAGGTCGTTCCACCTACGGTTCTAGCAGTAACGTAAATCGACATAGATTTGATGAAAATCGCAATCGTGATGTAAAGCGGGACCACGAAGATGATGACAATGATGATTTCGACAAAAGACGACATTTCGATGATGACTACGTGTATGATGAGAGAAAAAACAATGATGATCGCGATGATAGACAATACTATGATGAAAATGACTATGATGAAAGGTTTATCAATTATAACCAGAACAACGGCAACGCCAAAGCGTAGCGAATCCCATCGAACAGAAACGGCTGGCATTTTTACATACGAAATATATAGCAAATATCACAAAATAACACCCATAAGAAAGGCCATCATTTTCAAAATGGTTGATCACTAGCCAAGCTGTCATCAGAAGTAATATGCTTTTAAGTAGCCACATATAAAATTCTTAAAAGATTACCAATGGTGGCCATTTTTTAAAATGGCCGCTTACTACTCAAAATGTCATAAGACAGTATGCAATCCTTTCGAGTATTCGCATATCAAATATGAACAAAATCGCTCTATTACTTTATGAGTTATAATAAAAATGTAAAATAACACATATAAAAATGGTGGCCATTTTTCAAAATGGCCAACTACTCCCCAAAGTTTAATTAGACAATGTGCCATGCTTAAAGTATTCACATATCAAATATGAGCAAAATCGCTCCAATTTTGAGTTATACTAAAAAATGTAAAAATGGCAGCCATTTTTTAAAATGGCCGCCTACTACGTGAAGTGTCATGAGACAGTGTGCTAGGCTCAGGAGTATTCACATATCAAATATGATCAAAATCGCTCCAATACTTTTCAAGTTATAGTAAAAAACGTAAAAATGGTGGCCATTTTTCAAAATGGCCGCCTACTACCCAAAGTGTCATTAGACAGTGTGCCATGCTTATAGTATTCACACATAAAATATGAACAAAATCGCTCTACTACTTTTTGAGTTATAGTAAAAAATGTAAAATAACACACATAAAAATGGTGGCCATTTTTCAAAATGGCCGCCTACTACCCAAAATGTCATTAGACATTGCCCCATGCTTAAAGCATTGACATACCAAATATGAACAAAATCGCTCCACTACTTTTTGACTTACAGTAAAAAATGTTAAATAACACACGTAAAATGGTGGCCATTTTGAAAATGGCCGCCTACTACCAAAAATGTCATTAGACATTGTGCCATGCTTAAAGTATTCACATACCAAATATGAACAAAATCGCTCCACTACTTTTCAAGTTACAGCAAAAATCGAAAAATGACGCGAAGGCAGCCATTTTTCAAGATGGCTGCCATGTATTTTTTCTATATTTACATTTCTAGCTTAATCAATGTCCTATATAACTTTTTACATTTAAAACATATTGCTATTACAGTTTGATATGCAGTACCTATATTACTGTAAAATCGGCACGTAAATGGCCGCCATTTTTAAGTGAGCGGCCATTTTGAAAATCGGTTTTCGAGCAGAACTTCTACCCCCATTGGGTATAGGTGTACAAAATATGAACAAAATCGGGCCAACGGTATTTGAGTTATTGCCCGGACGGACGGACGGACAGACAGACGGACGGACGGACGGACTGACGGACTGACTGACGGAGGGCTTCACTATATCCCTACCGAACTTCGTTCGTTGGGATAATAAGGAAGATATTTCTACACCCGATTAATATTTACATACATATTTGGCTCACATTCATGATGAATAATTTGCCTGTAATATGGAACAGTATGCAAATATTTCATTCTATTGGGGTGAATGACTGAGCATATTTCACAAGCAGTATTTTATAAAGATCGGATGACTTTGGGAATATTGAACTTGTGAACGATGCACAATTATTCACTAAAGTATGACTATTTTGGCAGAAAAAAGCAAACAAATGTGTAGATTGACCTGATAAATGTATTTAGTACGTTTGTTCAAAAGGTATTGCTTGTTAGTGCAAAAATAATTAAAATACTGATTAATTGATCACGTGATCCAACAATATTTAAAACATCGCTTATTTAACTGTGTGGATTAACTATATCATTGGTTATGTCGAGGATTATGTTGTAACTGAACGTAAATATACGTATATAGTTTTTTGTGTGCAATGGTATCGTGTCTATGTTCTTTCACGGATTGTGAGGCATTTCAATAACTTGTTCAAGTGATGTCCCCATAGTAGACAAGTCATAGACATAAAATTAATGTTTTACTCTGAACAGCTCTCTTGACTCGTAGAATATTGATGCAATACTTCGCCTATATTAAAGACGGCGTGAGATCCATGCATAATATACAGGGTGTGACAAAATTGCAAGCAACATGTACAATTGAATCTACCGATCTGATTTTTACGATCTAAAATACAATATCTGTCAAGAGATATACAATGGTGAGGTTTTTGAAGATTTAAAGTTCAAAAAATGAAGGGAAGTGTTTTTCTCCCAGATAATAGATATGGTAACCAATAAGCATTATTGAAAAAGTCTTTAAAAAATCCTGAAATAAAATGTACACGTTGGGGGAATTTTAGAAAATAGACATGATAAGGAATTATATAAGCCAAAAATATTCTATATTTGGTATAATTTTGTTTAGCTCGCTCTCTAGTTCGATTCCCCTCAACTTTTTTTCAAAAAACACGATGTCACAAACATTTTTTTTTTGTTTTTCGAATAGCCCATTTTCTTTCAAAAGATTACGAAACGTATTTGAATAAATCTAAGACATGTATTTTTCCTTTTTGAGAGCTTGGATAAAACACCTTTACCCATTTTACACTTTTTACACAGAAAATGTGACATGAATTCCGCCTAACCATCACCATGACAACGTATAGCGTCAAAAATACCGTTAGTTTTTCGTACGTTCACATGAATTACTGATTTGAAACATTCTCGTGGAAAGGAGTTTGACCTTTCTAATTACGATAAAAATTGTGGCATTTTGACGCTATACGTTGACGATGGTTAGGCGCGATAGGTGCGGGCACCTCAGAAAATGCTGATTTACATCCAAAATGTATAGCTTTCTGTTGAATGCGTTCATAATATCAAAAATCTCAAGCCATTAGTTTTCAGTCGATGCGCAATTAAGTAAAAAGTACAACACCTTACGCCAATCTAAAGATAACATCGCTCCTTTCTACCACAATGTACAAAAATAGCAGTCCATGGCGGGACATCTCTGCATTAGCTTTACAGTAATAATATTAGTGTCAATTGCCTCGTTTGAATGCATTCTAAAATATGGCACTGTTTCAGATTGCAGTAAAACATAGATTCATTTGAATTGAAAAAATTAATTGAAAAAACGCATTATCCAGAAATGTTCGAAACATTTCAGAATGTAGGCGTGAGAGGATGTGAGCAATCAATGTTACAATAGTTTAGAAAATGCTATTAACATGTATCTAAATGCTGCACCCATACTCAGGAATTGATAGTAGATTCTGCAACGGTACTGTTCATTGCACAATCGATATCAAACACTCTGTTTGAACGTTCATTTAACGACCATGCATCATGTGGCAAGCATCTAGTGAATGTGACTCGAAACGCCCGTCTGAAATTCTCATTCATCGCACCAAATATTAATGGGTCAACTGCCCCATTCGCAAATGCCAAAGTGTTGACTACAAATTCGAACGGCGACAACTTTTGTACCTGAAATCAATTTAAAGAACAGTTATGTATGTATTTTAATGTAACAATTTGCAATAGCATGATTATTGGATGACATGATATGAGATTATATGATAATGATGGAAACCAGCTTTTCTACATGAAATGGAAATGGAAGCAAATTATTTTATTCCAACCCCTGCCCATTTTGCACTTTTTTCGTACAATTTGGCAGACAGGTATATATTCGGCGATTCATAGCATGTATCATGACTAGTTTTTTCGCTTTGCTATGGCTATATGCTTACTTTCTGGTCGTCGATTACATTGTTGAAGACGTTGATTAAACAGAGAATCTGATACGGTAGCCAACATAGAACGAACATCCCAAGAACAGCAATTAACATTCGCACCATCTATAATACAAATCATGTTATTAATCCACGTGATATGGCTATATCTATCTATTTTTGATGGTATGAGTATTGGCTATCAATTTTCTAATTTTTCCTTCAATGTGTATTATAATGACTTCAGTATGAATGAAATGTTCATTGGTGTTCTGCTCTTGGATTGTGATATTGCTTCTTGAATGGTGAGGGAAAGGGGTTATCAGACATTGCGTATTTTCACGTTAGATCATGGTATTGGGATATATGGGTTTTGTTTTTCTTATGACTGATACACACTTAGAGTTTGCTTTTTCTTGCTAGGTTCAATTACATCTTTTAGCCCCTTCTTCCCTTTGCCATTTGTGCCTAGATATTAATGGTGACGAAACATATGCATATCTTGACATCGTCTCTTATTTTTTCAGTTACATACCTTTTTCTTGCATTGGTTTGTATTAAGGATTGTCTTGAAAGCATTGGCGTTGGCCCTAACTGGTCCGTTGTAAGCTTATGAACCATGACACCATATAGCACTGACATCGACACCATCGGGATCCATGCAAAAACAACAATCACAAAGCTCCAGTAAAATTTTTTAGACAACGGAATAATGAATGATTCACAAGAGGGCAACCTGTCTTCACATATGCGCTCTGTATAGTCCTTCCATTGGATCTCGTAGTACGTGAAAACTACCAGCAGCGGGCTCGCTATAATGACTGCCATCGTCCAAATTGACGTGATGAGTATTAACGCCTTCCTCTTGTGTTTTGTTATGCGGGACTTAAGTGGTAGAACAATGGCGAAGAATCTGTCGACGGATATTACAGAGTGTGTGAACACGCTGGCACACATTCCGGTCACTGAAAATTGTCAACATGATAGTATGTTGAATTAAGACAAAAAAGTTGATCCATTAATTTCATTGGGTCTGATCTGAACACAACAAAATTAATCATATACGTAGAAAGGGAACCATGGAATTGAAAACAAACATTGTAATTACTTGTCCTAAATCGGTGAAATGGTGACAGTTATATGATCATACTGATTATTTACAATATTGGGCAACGGCTTTACTTATTCGGAGAACAAATTTCGAACACAAGATCAAGATCAAGATTATTAATTAATTCGATAAATTATAAAACGCTTAAATTGATTTATGATTTTCAGACAAAACATCGGTGGTCTTGCTAACCTTACGATGTTTCTTAACACATTTTAGCATTCCTCACATCACTGTTCCCTGGGTCATTCATGTAAGAAGTACGATAGAATAGAGGTAAGACCTTTTGTAATCTGACATTTTGTTTTGATTCTAGAGTCCGTTTGATGTCTCTTTTAGGGCAAAGATTAACACAACAGTATAAGAACAATTCCAATAAGAAAACTTGTATTAAATTGTTCTATTAAAACTTCATTACGTTTCAGTGATATACGTAATTGGGCTTTTACGTTGGCCAGCATGGTATTTACATAATGATAAGGAACCTTCGTTTTTGTTGATTTACATCTCATAATTGCTCGAAGATGACGAACATACACTGACAATTATAAAAATATTTTTATCGGAAATTTTTATGTTTTTTATTTTACAGATGATTTCAGACCATATAACACATTCGGAGAATACAGATAACTAGTGAAAACAAAATGGATTTAGCTATTGATTGTAAATTCGCTAATTGATAAACATTAATAATTTGAGGACACATAACATAGTGGGAAGCTAAAAGTGAGACTTAGTATGGCATCATTGTTATCGTCGACATCACAGACTTTACTAATAGCACTTGACGACGCTTTGTTCTTCACGCTTTCTATCGTCGGTAACATCACAGTTCTCGTTGTCTGCATCAAGGCTCGTACTCTTCGGAATAGTACAATGAGTTGCTTCATCGTATCACTGGCAGTTGGTGACCTCCTCATAACAGAATACAGATCAATGGAAATGACATTATTGGACTTTGTGAGGTTGGAAATCTAACTGATTTGACAGTTTCTTCTGATTATTCTATAGATGGTCATTGTCATGTATACTCGAATAAAAATCGAGGCCTATTGATATATGTTAAAGATGATATCCCTTTTAAAATTAGAAATGACCTTATGAATGATCAGGGTGACTCCTTATGGATTGAATTGAGCATTAACTATAAGTCATATCTATATGCAATTTATTATAGGTCACCATCGCAAACTCAAAATGAGGCAAATGAATTCTGCACTAGGTTCTCAAACTCATGCAATATGGCACTTGACTCTAACCCAGAAGCTATTTTTATTAATGGAGATTTTAATGCAAGGAGTAAACAATGGTGGGCCTTAGACAATGAAAATTTCACAGGAAAAAAATTATTTGAACACATTGAAGAACTTGGACTTTTTCAGCTTATAGATGAACCAACGCGAATAACAAATACCAGTAGATCATGTATCGATCTTCTCATTTCAAATAGCCCTGATATTATAACAAATTCTTATGTTTCTCCTCCTATTGGTAACACTGACCATTGCTCAATAAACACGGAGTGTTTTCTTAAAACTCTTAAAAACCGTCCTTATTCAAGAAAAATTTGGAAATATGACCAAGCAGATATAAATCTAATTAACAATTCAGTTAGAGCAGCAGACTTTGATCACTTGATAGATAGTAGTAATGATTTAGATGACATAGTAAGCAATTTTTCGAGAGGGTTACTTGCAATTTTTACAGATCTTATTCCAAACTCTGATATTGAAATTAAACCTACGGATAAGCCATGGTTTACAAGCGATATCAAAACCTTGATAAATAAAAGAAATAAATTACATCGTAAGTACAGGAAAACACATGATGACAAATACTTTAAGAAATATACTGATCAATGTAATCTTGTTAATGATGCTATTCGTGAGGCCAAAGAGGCAATGGAATCAAGGTTGTACTATAAATTAAGTAATCAGAGATATGGAAGCAAAGGATACTGGTCAATTGTAAGTAGGCTTTTGGGAAAATGTAAAAATAGTAAAATACCACTTCTTTGTGATGCTAGAGGTAACAGTTACACTGATAGCCATGACAAAGCAAACTTGCTACTGTCTCATTTCATTGACAAATATCATATAAACTATCAAGAAGGAAATGAAACTTTTATTCCAAGAACTGATCAATCTTTTGACCTACTCTCTACTAATGATAGAGAGGTTTATAGCATTTTACTTGGGTTAGATACAAATAAAGCTACTGGCCCTGACATGTTAAGCAATAGAATGCTTAAAATGGCAGCACCATCACTTTCACCCATATTATCAAAATTATTAAACAAAATGTTCATTCTTAATAAATACCCCCATTCTTGGAAGATAGGCCACGTTGTAGCAATTCACAAAAGTAAAGACAAAACAGATGTAAAAAATTATAGACCTATCACTCTTCTGAGCTGTATATCTAAAGTTGCAGAACGCGTAATCTTCAAAAGACTTTTTGACCATCTCATTGTGAACAATTTATTTTATAACCTCCAAAGTGGCTTTTTGCCAGGTCACAGCACCCAGGCACAGCTTTTAAGTATAATTGATGTCATAACTAATGAAATTGAAAATGGGGCCAATGTAAGGGGGATTTATCTTGACATTTCGGCCGCCTTTGATTCAATGCCCCATGGGCTACTATTAAAAAAACTGAAAATGTATGGTTTTGGTCATAACATCATAGAATTAATGAAATCTTACCTATCAAATAGACAAGTAAAAGTTGTATTGGATGGCCATGAGTCTGAACTATCTGAGATGAACCATATAAACGCAGGAGTACCTCAAGGCTCCATATTAGGCCCCCTCCTGTTCTTAATTTATATCAATGATCTACCTGATAACTTAAATACCAAATGTTTTATATATGCAGACGACACGTCACTTTACCAATCCTTCACAGCTGAAACAGCAGCTGCTAAGAATAATGAATTACAAGAGGATCTAAATAAAATTCTCTTATGGTCAAATACATGGAAATTAAACTTCAAAGCTAGTAAAAGTAAAGATATGACTTTTTTTAATCCAAGAAAGCGCGAAATTTTGACCCCAGATCTTTCCCTTGGTAATGACAAGTTACCAAGAGTAAACAATCACAAGCACTTGGGGTTGATTTTGGACAAAAATCTCACTTTTGACTATCACATTACTGAACTTGTAGCAAGAATAGATAAACTCATAAATCCGTTAAAAGTCTTCAGTAAGAAAATAAGTGGAAAACACCTTGAAACAATTTTTAAGTCTTTTATTTTGCCACTCTTTGATTATTGTGATATTCTTTACGGATGTGCAAATTTGACAAAACTACAACTTTTAGACCGCCTTTACTATAAAGCTGCACTTATTTGTTCAGGTGCCATGCATGGAACATCAACCACAAAAGTGTTGAATACTTTAAATTGGCCCACACTCTCAAATAGACGTCAATATCATAGAGCTACCTTTATGTATAGAGCTCACAACAATTTGCTGCCTTCTTATGTTACTGAGATATTTGAACCACTAAAAAGAAATCAAACACATGTACTAAGACACCAACTTGACTATATTTTACCAGTTAAATCCAAATTTTATGAAAGATCTTGTATCTCAAAAACAATATCAGAATGGAATCTACTGCCATCTGATATAAAGAACTCATCTAGCTTAAGCATATTTAAATCAAGCCTAAAAAGAAATATTTTTAACGAAACTGTCATTAACTCATCAGAACTGTCCATCTCAAGAAACCAAGAAATTATATTTAACAGAGTACGATGTGATTTCATTTTCAAGGCTCACCTTTACTCGCATAACTTTACCAATGTAAATTCCCCCATATGCTCATGTGGTATTAACAGTGAAACAACCAGCCATGTGATTTTTCGATGTAACTTGAGATTAACATTCTGGACTGAATTAGAAAACCAACTAAAAAATATGAATATACAATACTCCCGTAAATATAAGACACAACGTGATAAACTTTCTCTGATCCTCAATGGTGATAAAACATTAAGTAGAGCTGAGAATCTGATTGTTTTAAAGTGCAGTGCCATTTTCTTCGAGCGATGTGTAAATGTCTGAAATCCTCCACAAAACAACTTTTATCTTATTGTATCTCATTTATTTTAATCAAATATTATTGATTGAATACATTGTATATTGTAATTGTAGAACGTGGCTAATAATGCTAAAAGCACAGCCACTTACACTGTATTATTGTATGTATTCTTTGTACAAATGATTAATTTAATAATAAAAAAAAAAAAAAAAAAAAAAAAAAAAAAAAAAAACGTGCTTTTGTATGCCTATAAATCTTGCGAGTGCCTTGACAACATTTTGGACGTTCGGGGCGTTTGCCTGTAAGATGGTTCCATTCGTTCAGAATGTCGGCGTTGCATCCAGTCTGATGACTATGGCCGTCGTTGCATTGGATCGTTACCATGCTGTCGTCCACCCCCTAAAGACTAAGTTCTACAATACTATGAAACGAGCAATTATTGCTCTGTCAGTAGTTTGGTTATTTTCAATCTGTGTCAGCCTACCTAACGCAATTTGTTACTCTCAGAGGACATTTTCAATGAACGTGACGAACACAACAGAACGTATAGAAGACGTCACTTATGTATCCCCTACGAAGATACTTATAAACGTGTGTCTGTGGGACGAAGAAAAGATGCACTTGGAAGCGATGTTCTGGATCTATTTGATAGGAATGTTCGCGCAACCTTTGACTCTGATGTCAGTTGCATACATTGGAATAGCGCATAGTTTGTGGATTCGCTCCCCTGTTTTGGACATGGGTCCTAATATAAACCCCATTGCGAACGAACATAGATTGAGGCAGAAGAAACGTATAGTTCTGATGATGATACTCGTTGTTATATTCTTTGTTGTATGTTGGCTGCCAATAATGCTCTTTAATTTGATATCACTTAAAATAGGACTTAAACTGAATACAAAGTGGTTAACAGTAAGGCATTTTCTACAGTGTCTTTCGATGATGAGCACATGTGTGAACCCTATCATATACACTTTCTTACATGATAGGTTCAGAAAAAGTTTTGTTGCCGTCGCAAAATGCCGATCAGAGCGAATTGCGCCATCTGTTACAAAGTCGAACGATACAAGTAATAGAATCGAGAGGAGGGGTGTTGAAAGGAGGGCTACGATACCCGGTGTCTCCGCACTGCAGCCACGCCCGAATGAGCACGACATTATAGCTCTAACTAAAACGCGTAGAATAAACTCAAATGAGTAATTTGAACCAACTGAGTCTCCAAATTGACAATGAAAGTTTACGTGGAGAGGGGCATGTTTAGTTTCCGAAAATGGTTTTACTTCATTTAGAGAAGTAAGTTAGTTGGGGGCCTAAAATTACACCGCCCCTGTCCACGTAAACTTTGCAACAACAGAAGAAACATAGATTGATGTATCACCTTCTGAAAACAAGTCTAACATTTAGTTACAAATAGATATTTAAGTGACGTTCCTGGGCGTCATTTTTTTAATTTGGCTTAATCTTTGATAGACAACAAATTTCAAAATGATTAAGGAACAATTTTTCACGGGTTTCCAACAAGAGTCTACGCAGTGAAATGGATATTGAACTAGAACTAGAAACATGAGTAGGCAGAATTGTCAATAAAAATGTTAGGTATTGTGGCATATATAAAATACCAGTCATCATGATATATTTGGTCGGATTGTATTATTTATCTCGGATACATTACATACCTCAATTTAATGAGCTATACATATTAATAGGAAAATGGAGGTGTTGATCTTAATTTTGTTTTTTCTAAGCATATCATTGACGCAATCAGTCAAGATTGCAAAGATGTGTTTGAATGGGGGAGGACAATGAAGAAGACGGGTGATTTGGTTACAAAAGAAGGTGGGTAAATGCAGTAGATATAAATTGTGTGTTCAAAGATGTTCAGGTGTAATTGAACACAAAAATTTAGCCCGATTTCCCAAGGTAGCATTCGCTAATTCAACTGACGGCTGATGGTTTCATGGCCAACTCATTTTAATATGAATAGAACCTGTCACTATACCATTCATATTTAAATGAGTTGGACATGAAATAGTAGGTTAATCTGTCAGCTGACAGCCGGCAGATGAATTCTCGAATTCTACCTTAATCTCTAACCCTACTATCACACCGAACTAGTTCTCACTACGTTCTCGAAAATGGGCTTCAACTGTGTACGAACGGACTGGACGTACTTAGAACCGTTTGGGATCTATTACAAACTTCATCGAACTTACTCGAACCGGTAGGTCCTCTAGAACTTAGAACATGCTCAAAATGTTCTCGTGGTCGTCACGTTCTACAATTAGAACGAGTGGTAACGCACTAACGACGAGCAGGACGTACTACGAACGGAACCGTCGTACTTCAATCCTACTAGGAACGTTTTTACAACGAGTTGAACTGTCTGAGGACGTATTGAGAACGAGGTAGAACTTATTGCAAACGGGTTTAAACTGACTAAGAACGTATTAAAGACTGCTTAAGGTACGTTCACACCAACGGCGAATGCCACGCTTTAAATCGGCGAGCAAAGCGCCGTCATTTTTGTCATTTTTCTTCATACCAACGGCGCTTTGATGGCGCTTTAAAGCGGCTTGTAAAGCGGCACCAAAGCGTAACAAAGTTTGATTAAAGCGTCGGGGTCGTAATAGGTCGTAGAAAAGCTCAGAGTAAAACGGGATATTCGGCAAGAGCGCCAAAAAATTTTAAACTCTTAAAAAATTTTGGGCGCTCTGTTACGAATCGATTAAGCGCCGAGAGCGTATCAAAGCTTAACAAACCGTAACAAAGCTCAGAAAAACTTGATCCAAAGCGTAGGAAAGCTTAACATAGCTCTAAAAGGTTCCTCACGCTTTGATCCCGCTTTGATCAGGCTTTGTTACGCTTGAAATCACGCTTTGAAAAGCTTTGATAAGCATTATTACGCTTTGATGCGATTATGACGCTTTAAATCAGGCTCTGATACGATTGCAAAACTCTGTTGTGCATTGTTACGCTCTGTTAAGCTCTGTCACGCATTGGAAAATGTCGAGATCGCCGATTCCATGCCGCTTTTGATCCAATGACTATATAAAGATGCAGTAGATCCATAAAACCATTGCATCTTTGACTCGAGAACACGATGGCAGAACAACGAGATCCAGAAATTCCAGATGGACCAGAGCATGACCTATCTGAAGAAGACATGACGTTTGTCGCACGGCGTGATATAGCGTGTGAAAACTTTCAAGCGTAACAAAGCCTAGCAAAGCGTTTCAATCCTTGATTAAAGCGTCTCAATTCGTTGGAAAGCTTGAGAGTCCCTCAGGAAAGTGTAACAAAGAGTGTCAGATATTGATGAAAGCGTCTGACCTCGTGTCAGATCTTCATGCCAGATCGTAGCAAATCTTGAGACATCTTAACGAAGCGTGTCAAGTGGTAACAGACCGTGAATAGACTGGGGTCCCCGCTTTGAATTAACCAAGCTGTGTTAAGCTTTCCTACGCTTTGAGTCAGGCTTTGTTGAGCTTTGTTACGGTTTGTTAAGCTTTGATACGCTCTCGGCGCTTCAATCAATTCGTAACAGAGCGCCCAAAATTTTTAAACAGTTTAACATTTTTTGGCGCTCTTGCCGAATATCCCGCTTTACTCCGAACTTTTCTACGACCTATTACGATCCCGATGCTTTAATCAAGCTTTGTTACGCTTTGGTGCCGCTTTACAATCCGCTTTAAAGCGCCATCAAAGCGCCGTTGGTGCGAACGCTTAAACAGTTTAAATTTTTTAGCGCTCTTGCCGAATATCCCGCTTTACTCCCGAGCTTTTCTACGACCTATTACGACCCAGACGCTTTAATTAAGCTTTGTTACGCTTTGGTGCCGCTTTACAAGCCGCTTTAAAGCGCCATCAAAGCGCCGTTGGTGTGAACGTACCATTATGAACGAGTTAGCAAACATATAGCTATCACACCAAACAAGTTGCCACTGCGTTCTTCAAAACTGGTTTTAAACTGTGTGCGAACGGAATGAACGTAGCTGCAACTTTCTAAGGTCTATTTACGAACTTCATGAACGTTCTCAGACGGGAAGGTGATTTTAGAATTTTGAATCGATTCAAAATTCGATGGCGACCATACCGTTATAGGACGTTGCACACCGACGTGGTGCGACCTGAACGAACTGCGAATGAGATGGACGCATTTAAGACTGTTTATGAACGAAGTAGCTAATTATTTTAGACATATTTCCCGACCACAGCCAGATTGAGCCCGTTTTACGACGTTTTCGTAGGACTGGCAAGAACGGGTAAGAACTAGTTTGGTGTGATAGGGTGGTAAAGTTTTGAATGTTGAAAATAAGCGTAGGGATGAATGTTCACAACGAAGGGTCATGTTCAAAACAAAATTTAACTAAAACAGTAGTATGACTGAGAAGGGACAAAACTGTTAATTTTTGCTATTTGCTATTTTATGGTGTACATCATAAAACATCATTTCCTTTTTACCCCTCGTGTTTTCTGAAAATTCATTTGACAAAGCTTTCGACACTATATTATGAGAATGAATTTAGATTAAAAAATATCCACAGATATACCATGAGTATGAAACAACAAAATACAGACTTATGTCAGTCTCGTAATGTATTTATTTCAAAATAAAGAACGTACATTGTTAATGAAGATAGTGGGCTAACGCAACAAGAAAATAATGAAATCAGTCAAATGAGTGTAATGACATTGATCACATGAACAAGACAAATGCATTAACATACAAAATGTCACTACCTGCCATTTGTTACAGACGCCGACTGCCGAACATCAACCACTAGCCACCGCCACAAAAAGAATTAGAGAGTCAAGCAATATGTCACGTACAACTTTTGGTGATGACAAAATACGATAGTAGAAATACTGTAATCTGAAACGCTACTTTTTAATGTACCACTTTCCATTTCTTTACTTAATATATATATAAATAAATATTTCTCTTTTTGTATTGATTAAATACTAGTGTCATATAAATGACATAAATAACTAGCCAGGAAAATCTTACACATCACGTCTACCACTTGTAAATGTATAAATAACGTTTAATTCAATAAAAACGCGTGTTTTTTATTTCATCTGGTCCCTTTTGTTAGAGGATCATTGTTTTACTTCTTGTGAACCGACTTGGTGAAAGACATGTTTAGGAGTATTAAATAACATTGGACTGATGTGTACTTTCTTATTAATTGTCATCCAAGACTACATCTTAGACGCCGAAACAACAGTGAGTTAAAGTATTTCCTGTTTGCCACATGAACAATGGCGAAATGAGTATAATGTTAAATATGATTTTAGCCACTATAAGCATAGATATGAAACATTGGTCAAAACTAATGATTTCAACTTTTTCACATTGTTAAAGAGCCAAAAATCAACCTGTCAATTTAGCAGAAATTTGACCATAATACGACGCCAAAAGTTGATGTATTTTTGGTACCCAGCTCCCTTGTCACCATTGTGACATCAGAAACAGGGGCTGACACCAAATGAACAACGAAGCACAAATTGATGAATGAAATATTTGGTGCAGATAACAGGTACAAGTGGAATAACAACCAATTAGCATCACTACGAGATCTGAAGGAACTAGTCTAAACATTGACGTATTTTTTCATATTTCTTCAATTACTAAGGCAAATCATAGACAGGGTAGTCGTAATCTTCACATTTAATTATGATTGCTACTCCACCGTCTGAATCTGGGATGTCACATGTCAGTTTTTGTCTTTGGGGATCGCTACACTCACATCTTGATTTTGCTCTTTTCTTAGCTGTTTCAAGGTCATCGTCATCATCTAAATATAGGCCGAAAGTGTTACCAGCTACAATAGACGCACCGGGAATTTGAAAAGAAATCAGGGGTTCTCGCTCATTGGTAGGGGAAGGAGTATCAATTATGTATTGTCTTAAATCAACAGCGACGTCATTGTCGTCGACACTACATTGAGTTCCTTCCACGGAAATTTCTATTACTGTTTCATCAACCAAATCATTTGATAGTGTTATAATTGGTCCACTGCCTTTATATTCAACACATACTGACTGACTAGACGTAACATCTTCACGTATACCAAATAGTTTGCCCTTTGTATCTTCATGCTTCCCACCCTTGCTCATTACACGGACTCTAGATTCATCGTCGGTATCTTTGCCGTTTCTTTTAACCAGAACACGAACTTTGATAAACCAAGCCCAGAAAGCATTGGTCGTTTGGGGAAACCATGCGAGAGGGGTTAATGGTGGATTACCACCCCAACACGACAGAGCCATATCACAGACAGAATATTCAAACAATGTACTGGGACTTCTGTAAAAACTGAAGTGAGGGTCTGAATCGCTTGCCTTGAGACATTGAGAATAGGCAGTCATGCTAGGTATTGGATTATAACAATATGGGTCACAGAGAAAACACTCTGGCCCCATATAATTATTGATTTCACAATCCGTACAAAATTTTGAACTGGCATCCTTACAATCTGGAGCAGTATTACTATGATACAAAGGGCCATTTGACACGAGTGGTTCTACATCTGTTTCAATGACTCTAGATCTTGTTGCAGTTGTTGCATCATCTAACTGTTTGACTTTTATGTTTACACCAGCGATCGTTGGATCTAACGCGCCTAATTTTGATGATGCACTGAGTGCAACATTGTCACTTTTAAGAAATAAATATGCTTGGAACTTAGACTCACCACAAACGGTGAGGATACAGTCGTCTTTTGAACCAAATCCGGACCCGGTTTGACTCATACTACCAGTGAGAACCCGTCCATTTGGTGGAGTTACAGACGACGCTGGTGTAAGTACTGAAGGCTCAAAGGTTTCTGACCATGGCAACAGTGTACTTAAAGAAGAATCAGTATAGGCCTTGATTCTGACATAGCAGAAATTCAAACTATCATCATCAAAATTAAACCAATATCGGTCTGTTATTACGGTTGTGCCAACAAAAAAATCACTGGTTGCTGAAGTTAGAGCTCGTTTTCGTCTTGATGCTGAGACCCGTTCCAACGATCCTTCATATTCCCATCTAGCAGATGACGGGTTGAGAGACCATAGCTTTACATTAGTTGTGTTCTTAAACTCAGCGCCAATTACATCAGCACGTATGGCCATGCCAACATCTCCTTTTAAGTCAAGTTCTTCCCCATTCTCACCATTGAATCCAAGATGGAACATACCAAAGGTTTTAAGTAAACCAACTTCACCGTTATCATTAACAAATGTCAAGTCACCTACCATTGAATTAAAACTGTCAATATTTGAAGGATCGATAAAGTTAACAGATACTTTAACTTCATCAGTATAAAGATTACCATCTGAGTCATAGAACGAATCACCCGGAATAATTACCTCTGCGGTTGAACTCTCGGAAGATTCTGCCAATGATATTGTGTTCTTCTCCGAAGGCGTTATTGTAATCACTCTATCATTTATCAAGAGACTGACATCTTCGAATAATGTTCCAGAGAAATCTTTTGGAATAGTAAACACCTTAGAAGCCTCAATAAAGCCACTTTTCATCACACCTTCTTTAAATGTAACCACAATTCTATTTATGCCGGTTGGAACAGAGAAACTGAATTCACCATTAAAACTAGTTGTAGTAACCTTTTCATCAAATAAATGGACATTCCCAAAGCGAAGAACAGTTGAAGGGTCGTTAATTGCATGCACAACTCCACTAAAAGTAACATCTCGCTTGGAAGTTACGATATTACCAGAAATATTAATCTGATTACAAATGACACACCCACATTCTAAAGTAACAATTATGTCCATGGAATAATCCGCACATGCTAATGTTTCTTTGGTTTGTTTTGTAGGTCCACAGCAGAATTTGGTGTCTGAATTTGCATTAGGGCGTTTTACACACACATTCTTCTGACATTGTCCCACGTCATAGACGAGCGGAGATTCCCCACTCTGTGGACAATCCTTTGGCAATGCCTTTAGAAACGATACGGGTTGAGAATCACAAAAACTTTCGCTGTCCTCTAAAAATATAAATATTGGACTTATACTATCATTTAAATATCTTTACTGATCCCACTGTGTTGTATCATCCATTTCACTATGTACCAAACACAAGATATTCAGCATATGTTAAATGTATATATGTTTGAGGAATAGCAAACAGAAAATCAATCCAGACATTTTGATGGGACAATGTTGGCAGTTTCAAGGGATTTGGAAGTTTCAAAGTTAACACCTAGAATTGAGTCCTTTTGTATTGATGTATTTTGAAGAAAATCTTTTAAAATACCTTTTACATCTAGTGTAGCAGCATTAGACTTAGCTGATCCATACTCCGAACTAGCTTTGCAATAATATGAGCCTTTATTTTCTAAGGTGGTTTCCACGATCACCAAATTCTGCCCTGTTTGTTCTTGGTCTTGGAGAAGCTTTCCATTCTTAAACCTATCATTAACAAAAAGGAATTTTATGAAATGGCAAAGTAGTATTTTGTTGTCTAGGTGTGAATAATGTTTTCATGCACAAATTGTAACTGTGAAGGAGCATACATCCATCATGGTAAGTTAAAATGAGTGTGTGGGAACTACGATAAAGGTAAATGCAAATATTTGTTAATTAAGTATTGGCTGCCCATTATCTTCCCGGAATAGTGTTCATAATCAAAGTTTAAAATGCCAGGAAAATATCTATCTTGGTTAGTCGGATTTTTTACCATTGATATGTTTCTGGGCTGGGTTTTCCAACCGCACGGCATGTGAGGTTTACGGTGTCACCAACAAGAGCAAAGGTATCTTCTGGGTGCTGTACAATTTCAGGAAACTCTAAAATGACATTCGAATGTGTCATTAGGACAACTGAACTATTACTTTAATTTTGATATTAGTTATACAAATAAAAATTCGAGTATTGCAGTCTAATTAGTTAATAAAGGGAAAATATTTAAAATTCTTCCTTCACTTTCACTTACATTTATATCAAAAGTTTAAAATTGAAAAGCCAATTTGGATTATCACCTGTATGCGGTGTTCTTCTTCGAAGACTTTGGGTTGTTGTTGGGGTTGTCGGTGGGGCTACTGTAGATGTACCTAAAATCAATGTTTATACTTGCTAGTATTTTGGCAGTACATTTGTTATTCAAATGTGTTTTGGAAAACTTTAGACTGCTGATACCTCAGCCTCATTTGCAACGGCCGTCGTAGCATTTCTATGGTCACATACTATAGAAAACAACATACTCATACTGCATGCGGACTTACGGCTTACGACTGTAGGTATTTCTCGATAACAAGGAACTACACCCGCTGTAGACTCACCATAAAACAAATTTGACTGAGGTACAAAGCTCCAGTGACCATGCGGTCTGATATTTGTACGGGCAAAAGCAATTCTACGGCCGACGTAAAATATCCATGGTCACATAGTATTGTGGTAAAAAATGCTTTTGCAGTCGTACGTTGTATTTTGAATTCATGGAGAAATAAAACCAAATGGACGTGTTTTAAGTTCCAAGGTAACCCGTCTGAAAAACTAGAATACACCGAAAAGCAATCGTGATTTTTTACCAACTCGAAATAACGTCGTTCATTACTCAACTATTTAACAAAAAAACATATACTTACTTGACATAGTAGGACACTCCTTGTTGGCAGCCTTTTGGTCAGCAAGTTCATTCTCGAGAGCAACTATTTTTGCTTCAAGATATTTTATCCTCGCCAAGCATTTATCTAGAATGAATATAAAAAAATGGATTTCAAATGGATTTGTGTTTGTTTATTTAGTGATATCATGGGCGTTCTACATCGTTACACAAGTATAAGACAACATTATCAGTATGGACAACAATATTTAAACTATGCACTTTTACATCATGTGCTTTTGCAAAGACTTACTTTTTGCAAAGACTCTAGGTACTGCTTGAAAATATAATTAAATTACACTCTGCAAATATATTTTTGATTTTAAGAAAAAAAAATCTTCAAGCAATCAAACATATTCATATTAAAACAATTATTCCAAATAACCATTTACATGACATTGATCATATAAGCATTGTTTTATAATTAGACTCCAGATTGAAAATCTGGAGTCTATTGTTTTTGCCTGTTTTCTTTATTATTATTAGACTCCAGATTGAAAATCTGGAGTCTATTGTTTTTGCCTGTTTTCTTTATTATTAGACTCCAGATTGAAAATCTGGAGTCTATTGTTTTTGCCTGTTTTCTTATTAGACTCCAGATTGAAAATCTGGAGTCTATTGATTTTGCCTGTTTTCTTTATTATTATTAGACTCCAGATGAAATCTGGAGTCTATTGCTTTTGCCAGTTTTCTTTATTAGGCTCCAGATGAAATCTGGAGTCTATTGCTTTTGCCTGTTTTCTTTATTATTAGACTCCAGATTGAAAATCTGGAGTCTATTGTTTTTGCCTGTTTTCTTATTAGACTCCAGATTGAAAATCTGGAGTCTATTGATTTTGCCTGTTTTCTTTATTATTATTAGACTCCAGATGAAATCTGGAGTCTATTGCTTTTGCCAGTTTTCTTTATTAGGCTCCAGATGAAATCTGGAGTCTATTGCTTTTGCCAGTTTTCTTTATTATTAGACTCCAGATGTAAATCTTGAGTCTATAGCTTTTGTCAGTATTCTTCTTCTTTATTATTATTCTTCTACAAACGTTTTCTCCTTAACTAGAAGACATTGAGTCAAGTCCTGTATATGGTCAATTTAGGTCCAGTATCTAGTTTCTCGGAAATTGGGTCAATTTTTTATCTAGGTCAAAGGTCAAGAACTAGGTCAAATCCAGTACTTTGTCACTTTTTTCGATTTTCTCGGTCGTCCTTCAATATTTTTGATCCGGGTTTCTTTTCATCGTGTTCCTCATAAAAAGTAGAAAATCTAGAGTCGATTTAGTTTTTGGTATCTCAAACCGATTTCGAGATATCAGTGTCCGAAAACGAGGTCCAAAAAAGTTCTCCAAATCCAATGTCCAGGATATCAGTCTTATAGAAAAAAATTCTCAGGATTCCGAATCTGAAAACCAAATTTCGATCTGACTACCGGTTCAGAAGTGATGGCGTTTTGAAAATTCAAAAATTGCTAAATTTGGTGCCCCATGTTAATTCAATGGGAAAAAAATATTTTTTTGAAGTGTAAAATACGAGATATAGACTAAGCACAGCTAAACATAATGGAAGCCCATAAAAGAAAGGGACCTCAAAACCTTCTTTTCATAAAAATTTGGACACCAAAATGCCTAGGTCAAAATCTAGGTCAAATTCAAAGTTTTTCCTTACTTTTGCGATTCTGACACTACAGATTAATTATATTCTTCGAAATTTTGTATACATGTAACCAAGAGTGTGGTAATAGTGTTAGCTTTTTGCCGTCAGAAAGTATTTTGACCCACTTTTGAGATATGGTGTCCGAAAAGTAGGTCAAAATAAAAAATTCTCCAAATTTAACGTTTGAGTTATGAATTAAAGGTAGAATTTTCTATGGAATCCGAGTCTGCAAACCAAATTTCGATCCGACTTCCGGTTCGAAAGTTATGGCGTTTTGAAATTTCGAGAAAAAACGATCTGATGGTATCCTGATAGAAAGTCAAGAGTAGAGAAGAAAATATTGAAAAATGAATTTTCTCAGGAATCCGAATCTGCAAATCAAATTTCGATCCGACTTCCTGTTCGGAAGTTATGACATTTTGAAAGCTCAAAAATCACTAAATTTGGTGCCCCATGTTATGTCAATGGAAAAAAGATCTTTTTGAAATGTAAAATTCGAGATATAGACTAAGTACAGCTTAAAATAATGAAAGCCTATAAGGAAGGGGACCTCAAAGGCTCCCTAACTTCAACATTTGGACACCAAAATCCCTAGGTCAAAATCTAGGTCAAATTCATAGTTTTTCCTTATTTTTGCGATTCTGACACTATATTTAAATGATTTGCTTCAAAATTTTGTATACAGGTAGGAAAGAGTGTGCTAATAGTGTTAGCCTTTTGCAGTCAGAAAGTATTTCGACCTACTTTTGAGATATGGTGTCCGAAAAGTAGGTCAAAATAAAAAAAATCTCCAAATTTAACATATGAGTTATGAATTAAGGGTAGAATTTTCTATGGAATCCGAGTCTGCAAACCAAATTTCGATCCGACTTCCTGTTCGAAAGTTATGGCGTTTTGAAATTTCGAGAAAAAACGATCTGATGGTATCCTGATAGAAAGTCAAGAGTAGAGAAGAAAATATTGAAAAATGCATCCATCCTTCCTTTGTGATCCTATCGTATCCTTCTTATCTACCTTTCCTTCGTATCCTCTCCTTCCTATCCTTCCTATTCTATTCCTTCTTCCTATTCTATTCTATCATGCTTTCCTATTCTATTCTATCATTCTTTCCTATTCTATCCTACCGTTCCTTCCTATTCTAGCCTATCCTTCCTTCCTTTTTCATCCATCCATCCATCCATCTTTTTCTGGATGACTCAGCTTATTTTGGATGACTCAGCTTATTTTGGATGACTCTGCTTATTCTGGATGACTCGGCTAAAAAAAAGTCTAGATCTGGAGTCTGAAATTGAACTTCGTTCAATTTCCAAAGTCTAGTTATTATTAGACTCCAGATGTAAGCAAGTTTTCTCAATAACCGTAAGATCTTCAGTAAAGTCAATCATTTGGTCAATTTAGGTTCAGTATCTAGTTCCTCGGAAATTGGGTCAAATTTTTATCTAGGTCAAAGGTCAAGAACTAGGTCAAATCCAGTACTTAGTCACTTTTTTCGATTTTCTCGGTCGTCCTTCAATATTTTCGATCCGGGTTTTTTTCATTGTGTTCATTATAAAAAAGTAGGAAAGCCAGGTTGATTTAGTTTTTTGATATCTCAAACCGATTTCGAGATATCAGTGTCCGAAAACGAGGTCCAAAAAAAGTTCTCCGAATCAAATGTCCAGGATATTAGTCTTCTAGGAAATTTTCTCAGGATCTCCGAATCTGAAAATCAAATTCGAATCAGACTTCCGGTTCGGAAGTTATAGCGTTTTGAAAGCTCAAAAATTGCTAAATTTGGTGCCCATGTTAAGTCAATGGGAAAAAAGATTTTTTTGAAGTGAAAAATACGAAATATAGACTGAGTTCAGCTAAATATAATGAAAGCTTTTAAAAGAATGGGACCTCAAAAGTCATATAGCTTCAAAATTTGGACACCAAAATGCCTAGGTCAAAATCTAGGTCAAATTCGAAGTTTTTCCTTATTTTTGCTATTCTGACACTACAGATTAATTATATTCTTCGAAAGGTGCCCCATGTTAATTCAATGGGAAAAAATATTTTTTGAAGTGTAAAATACGAGATATAGACTAAGCACAGCTAAACATAATGGAAGCCCATAAAAGAAAGGGACCACAAGACCTTCTTTTCATAAAAATTTGGACACCAAAATGCCTAGGTCAAAATCTAGGTCAAATTCAAAGTTTTTCCTTATTTTTGCGATTCTGACACTACAGATTAATTAAATTCTTCGAAATTTTGTATACATGTAGCCAAGAGTGTGCTAATAGTCTTAGCCTTTTGCCGTCAGAAAGTATTTTGACCCACTTTTGAGATATGGTGTCCGAAAAGTAGGTCAATTCTCCAAATTTAACGTATGAGTTATGAATGAAGGGTAGAATTTTCTCAGGAATCCAAATCTGCAATCCAAATTTCAATCCGACTTTTGGTTCGGAAGTTATGTCATTTTGAAAGCTCAAAAATCGCTAAATTTGGTGCCCCATGTTATGGCAATAGGAAAAAAGATTTTTTTGAAGTGTAAAATACGAGATATAGACTGAGCACAGCTTTACATAATGAAAGCCTATAAAAGAAAGGGACCTCAAAAGCTAGCTAGCTTCACAATTTGGACACCAAAATGCCTAGGTCAAAATCTAGGTCAAATTTATAGTTTTAACTTATTTTTGTGATTCTGACACTACACTTTAATTATTTGCTTCAAAATTTTGTATACAGGTAGCTAAGAGTGTGCTAATAGTGTTAGCCTTTTGCCGTCAGAAAGAATTTTGACCCACTTTTGAAATATAGTGTCCGAAAAGTAGGTCAACATGAAAGTTTCTCCAAATTTAACGTATGAGTTATGAATTAAGGGTAGAATTTTCTCAGGAATCCGAATCTGCAAATCAAATTTCAATCCGACACCCGGTTTGGAAGTAATGGCGTTTGAAAAATAAAAAAATTGGTATTTTGATATCCCATGTTATGTCAATTATCTTTGTCACTATTTGTCGTTATACCTTGATCTTTTTTTCATCATGTAGCTTAAAGACAGTCCTTTCATTATTGTGACTGTCTTTTTTGATTACTCTTACAGATTTTGAGGAATGGCGTCCGGAAAGTAGGTAAACACAAAAAGTTCTCAAAATTCAATGTATAAGTTATGACACAAACGTAGAATTTTCTCAGAAATTCGAATCTGCAAACCAAATTTCGGCCCAACTTCTGGTTAGATAGTTATGGCTGTTTGAAGTCTCGAAAAGTCAATATTATGATACCCCCATGTTAAGCCAATGGAGTCGAAGACTTAAGGGTTGTCTAAATGTCTATATTCTAGATGACTCAGCTTATTCTGAATGGCTCAGCTTACAGTATTTTGGATGACTCAGCTTAAAAAAAGTTTGAAATCTGGAGTGTTAAATTGAACTTGTTCAATTTACATGTCTAGTTATTTTTCTCTACACGTTTTCT